CCCCAAAACCCCAAAACCCCAAAACCCCAAAACCCCAGCCTTTAAACTCCATATTGAAAATAACTATCAAACTTTACTTTTAAAGCATTCCATCATCGGAGCTTGAGTAGTCTTCATCATTCTTCTTCAGTAGCTTTCTTATATTATGAGGTCTATAAGTCTTTCATTCACTCTCGTTTGAATCTTTAGTTTCTATGTCTTTCTTCTCTTTTTCAGAAGATTTACTACGAATTCTAGACATATCAGAGTTTATTGCTTTCTCATTTTTGCATTCCTCATTTTGCTCTTCTTCAGATACTGGGACGACTGAATTGTCTTTTGTATCTTCCCCTAAAGATTTTATGCTTCTTTGATTTGAATTGATCCTTTCATCTTTAGTCTCTTCATACTCTTCCAATTTAATTAAGTGTTGCGGCTCTTTGAGCTTATCTGTTTCAGATAGCTTATTTTGTTCTTCCTCTTTTATCTTTGAAGGAAATTTCTAAATCTCGAAGTCATTGCTTACATATTCTTTGAAATTTTCAACAATCTTATTTAATTCTGATCCTTTAACTATAATGTCTTCTGATTTCAGGACTACACATTAAAGCATAAAATTACTGATGACTATTCTACCCTTCTCCTCCTCTGAATTATCATCAATAAATTTCTTAATAGCCTATAAATATAGCCATGAGTTTACCTCAACCATTGCTCTAAGATAAAGTCCTTCAGGTATTTCTGCATCCTTTGTTGAGAAAGAAGGAATCAAGATTGATTCTATATGGTGAGAGGCTGAAGATACTGAAGTTGTAATCAAGCATCAAATCTAGGATAGAATATACTGTCTTCTTCATTAAGGCCTCCATGCTTTCATTAAGACAGATTGGCCCAACAGCTGCAATAATTTTATTGATATTTAGGTTTCCACCTGGAAATAGAGTCGCGAGTCCTGTTCGAAGTCTAAAGTGTGCATTCTTATAATGTTTGCAAGCATCTGTAAGTTCATCCCCAGCTTTGTTAGCAATTTTCTTAAGATTCTCAGGAAGATTTTCTATTCTGAGTTGTTCATTAAACGGAATAACTACAGCACTTGTCTTCTCATTATTTAGTTTTGACAATTTCTTAAACTCAATATCCCAATTTTTGTAAGTAACTTTATTCGATGATTCATCTTCATAATTGTTTATTTTGGATAATTCAGTTTCTCAGGTCGTTAATTGCCCTAAATTTCGAATTTCCTTTCTTACTTTTAATTTTGCTTTTAATTGACTCAAGTATTATTGATTTTACTTTCGCTACTTTTACAGTTGATTCTAATTTACAGAAAGCATGGTACTTTTGTTTGGTGAATTTAGCTTTGGAATCATTGATTTCTGAGTTTATTTTTATTATTTTTCCTTGTAGTTCTGATAGTATTAATTTGTGATGCTTACCTTCAAATTTTTCAATATTTTTTAACTTATTTTTGTCTTTTCCTTTTTCTTTTTTATTTTTATCTCAAGATAAATCTTCAAACCCTAGCAGTAACTAAATTGATTTACCTTTAATAAAATCTACACATTAAATGTGAAAATACCAGAAAGTTCTTGCTTTATTTTTTCTGTTGAATCTCAAAGACTGATTAAAAGTGATTGATAGTGCTTATCATGCTCCTCCCATTGATTCTTGACATCAATATTATGATCCTTTATTTGTTTCTCTGAAACAGTTAAAGTTAATCAGAATAGTTCTTACTTAATTTCTTAAATATGGCTTTAATATCTGAAGTATTTTGAATTTCGACATGCTCTAAATCTAAATTTAAAATTTGTTTGGATACTGAAGTGTCAACATTTTGTCATTAAAACTGCAATGAACACAAAAACCTCTGTAACTTACTTTCTTTTGATTTTGCTCGGTCGGTTCGAGATCCACCGCTGGCATGAGAAGTGGCACATTGAGATAATTCTCTGCTGATGAAATTAAGTTCTGTTCTTATTTTAGATATGGACTCCAAATTTTTAGCTCCTTCAGTTTTTGTGGAAGTTCCGTTAAGGAACTTCGAAGATTCGGTTGATGAAGGTGGAGAAACTTTAGGTTTCATTATTGGATGAGACTCCTGAGAATAAGATATCGGAACTTCTTTAGTTATTAAGGATTCAGCAATTTTTGATTTCAAATCTTGGAAACCTTTCCAATTATCGTTTAAAGTCTTAATTAAATTTTTGTCAATCTTGTTTGTTTCAATAAGATTTAAAACCGCCTTTGAGGCAGTAGTTTTTGACATATTGTATGCAATGAACATATTATTTAAAACCCTTAATTTTCCAAAAATTTCTGCCTGACATGTTTGAGCATCACCAACTCGGTTTTGTTTTACTAAATTTATATGAATATCTTTACCTAGTATCAATTTTTCCATTCTCTTTTTATCTAAATGGTATGATAATTAAAAGTTGCAAATTTCTTGTATAAAAATGTTTTATAATTCAATAAAAGCCAATTGAACTTAAAGTCTCAAAAAGTGTTAGGCTTAACTATTTATTCTTTTAAAAGCATTAATGATTTCCAATGAGGGAATTATTCATAAATAACTTCAGAAAATAGTTATAAAAATAGTGAGGAACAAAGCTAATCTAGAATACCACTATCTTGAGATAAATTATAAAGTATTATTGCTTTCTTTGACAAAACCTTTTTAATATAAGACTCACGCTCGGCTCTTTTCTTTTTACCATTAAAAGTATAACTTTGTTGGCTTTTTCTTTCTCTATAATTCTAAAGCAAATGATTGTTAATTACAATCTCTTCCTGAATAACACCGTGAAGTATAGTATTTGATAGGTATATCTGAACGAGACTTTGAATGTGGCCTATAGAAGAATTACTCTGCTTTAACTTTCTCCGTACCAAGATCTGCTTTTTCCAGATTCTCCAGCACGCCAGCTAAATCTTTAGCTGGTGTGCTGGGTGAAGCAGAGTCATCCCATTTGCTCTTCAATGTCTTCTCTTCTTCATATTCTGGTCCTTGCTTCTCTACTAAATCAAGATTTTAATTGAAAAGAGTTGAGAGATAAAATAGAAGATTCAAAATAACTGGCAATCTCAGACTTGTCCGAAAGTTGTTGGAACAAATAAATTTTAGACTATACCGCCTTTGTTATTTTCTTTGACTAGGTTATCGCATTGGCTACCGATCTTCTTGATTGATTTCTCAATCAGAGCTTTGTTAACCACTCAATGTTCTTCTTCGAGTAAAGGAGCTTTGGATTCTTCATACTTGGTTTCTTCATTTTTGGAAGCATTAGATAGTAAAGATTTTGTATCTAGTAGAGGAGGGTGGAACTTAGTAGCCACTTTACTCTTTGAAGTATCCAACTCTATACGATGTATGATACAATAAATATTAGAAAATGTAAAAGATCCAGAAAACAGAAATGCTTAGGATTCATATCATTAATAATATTACCTTTGAGATTGGAGGTCAACGAATCTACTTTATTCTGAATTTCTTTAAAAGTTGCTTCTAATTTCTTTAATTTGTCTTTAGGTATCTTTTGTTTCTTTAGGCCTAAAACCATTAAATCAATCATTAACTACTTTGATACTCTTTGTCTGATGCATAACTTTCTAAATATCGTTAGAATGGAGAGTACTGATCTCATTTTGAAGTTTGTCATAGTTAGAACTCAGCTTCTTGAAAGTGCTGCCATTAATATGATCTTGGTATATCTTTTGATTAATTTTTTCTGCTTTAGTTTGACAATCAATAGCTTGATCTTTAACTTCTTTTATTTTCCTTGTTATTTCATCCATTTTAACACCAAGCTCATTAATCTTCTGTTTAATAAGCTTTTCCTTAAGGTCTCTATCTGAGTCCATCTTGCCAACATCGAGATGCTCTATAAGTTCATCTTCAATGTTTAGCATTTCCATGTACACTTTCTGGTTTTCTCCAAGATCCAAATCAACACACTTAATAACTGTCTGGTCTATATCAATGCTATTTAGCTTTGACAACTCTCTATCACCATCAACATCAAGGCTTTGCTCCTTTATTTTCTCTATCTTGCGTGACTCCAACTCACTATACATTAAAATAATATTATATAATTCAACCTCTTTACCTTTAAAAGGGGTTTTGGGGTTTTGGGGTTTTGGGGTTTTGGGG